GGCGCCCCCCCTCCCCCCCCCCCCCCCCCCCGGAGGGATAGAGGCACGGTGTTTGCACCCAGAAACCCTGTCACAGAGACTACATTTCCATGCCCACACTGCAGAGGGACACTTCTGGAGCTAGCAGCCTGGTGGTGGTAACGCTGAGGCTGCTGCTGAGCTGGTTGTGTAATAGGCCCATACAGTATAAGTCCTAATAGTCATGTGTGAAAACTGAATTGGCCTCTTAGAACTAGAAGACATTTTCCAACTGAAGAAAACAGTAATGCCCCTTCCATGTGGCAGTTCAGGGTACTAAATGTTGCAAACTCTTTCTAGACGAGTACTTTTTGGCAGACTTTCACTCCATTTTTTTAGCCTGTGTAGTGGAGGGTTGATGCTGTTACTGGATCAAATGAACCTTTTTGTGCTCCCAAGGTGATTTCCTGAGATAAGAGAAAGGAAGACCAGGAGATAGAAAATGCATGCATGTCAACTTGAGAAATATCAGGGAATTTTTCTGTGCTGTGTAGATTGGAAAGCAGGCAGGAGACCTTGGAGGAATCACAAAACTGGAGCTTTGCTAAGTGGCAATCAATCCACTTTTCAGGGCTTGATCTGCCTCCCATGCTGCAGAAACAGTTGGAATGGTAAACCTAGCCATGAAGAAGAATAATGTTCTCTTAAGTTCCAACTGAGAACAAGTCTCAAGAAAGGAGACTGTGTATGGGCTTTGGAGACCATGGTGGCTGAATTGGAGGAGCTAAGGCAGAGAGGTAGATAGATGAGAGTTTCTGGGACACAGTAGAACAATCCCACCCCTGGTCAGACAGCCTCTGTGCTGCTGAGGAGGGTGAAAGACTCAGGGAATGAGAACATCCAACTGGAGCAGAGGGACTCTCCTTCCAAATAATGTTGTGGTTAAGGATGTTAAGAGGTGGGTAACTGACTAATCATGTAGTCAACACAATTTGTATCGACTACACGATTAGTCGATAAGAAAAGGCACTCGCAGCTACCCCCACTGCAGCTCTGCAGTTTGAATGTAGTGGGAGCTGTGTGTGTATTGCTCTCTCGAGACATCTAGACAGACTTATGTGTAGTGCTGGGCAGGAGCCGGTGGTTGTGGTACATGTAGGTACCAATGACATAGGGAAGGATAGGAGAGAGGTCTTGGAGGCCAAATTTAGGCCGCTAGAAAAGCGAGGTCCTGGATTTCAATCTATGGTGGCATTCTCTGAAATGCTTCCAGTTCCACATGCAGGGCCAGGTAGACAAGCAGAACTGCAGGGTCTCAATGCGTGGATGAGACAATGCTGTAGAGAGGAGGGGTTTAGATTTCTTATGATCTGGGGAAACTTTTGGGATAGGGGGAGCCTATACAGGAAGGATGGGCTCCACCTAAACCAAAATGGAACCATACTGCTGGCACTTAAAAACTGCTCTACAACCTTTTTAATTTTAATATATGAGCATTTGGTATGTGTACTGTATATGTATTGTATGTATTCTATGTATTATATTTCTGTATATGTCGGACATAAATCTTTGCTGTGTTTAGGAACTGGAGGAGAAACATCGTGAGGCTCAGCTGTCAGCACAGCATCTGGAATTGCAGCTGAAACAGAAAGAGCAGTTCTATGAGGAAAAAATCAAAGTAAATATTCCTTTTCATTACCTTCATGCTTTCTTTTATAGGTGCATTGGACTGTGGATAATCCCCAAACAGCTGCTTTTGGACTCTGATTCCCTGTCTGCTGCTTCCTTGTTCACTTCTTCTGAGAGTTGAATGAAACCTGAATAATTCTGCCTTTCAAACCTGTGCCCATCATGCTTTCACTTTTTGTGTGAGACTGTGTTATCCATGTAGGCTTTGTAAGGGAGAGCTATAAGAGCAATAAGAATCCATTTAACTGGTAACTGACCATTCCATTAGAACAAGTGATTCTTATTCCATGCTTGTGGGAAACCAGACGTTCAAAAAGGCTTTTATTTTTTTCTATCTTGTTTTGATCTGAAGAGCATTAACACGAGCAGCCCTAGAAGCTTTAAATTTAGCAAATGCAAAAACACTTTTGAAATTCCACATCCTTGGAGCTGTAACATTTGCCAGCCCATCCAGAGATCCATCCACACTGCTTTTTTTCTATTCTCCAGGATATTTTAAGATTTGTAACAAATAGTTGAAAACATGATTATAGACACCACCTGAAATTAGGAAAGCCCTAGAGAGGAGACAGGATTATGTAGTGTGACAGGGTCAGGCCAGAAGGATATAAAAGTGTAATGGAAGGGAGGTACATTAGCCTCAGACTGAGTAAATCTTTGTTCCCAGGGTAAACTGGCAGGGGCTAGTCCAAAACCAGCAAGAACTTCTCAGAATAAATCAGGTCAGTTGAGCACCTGGAATTAATTGACCAGGTTTGCAGAGTCAGGTGAGCCAAGGCTAATTAGAACACCTGGGGCCAATTAAAGACCCAGTTAAGACTGGTTATAAAAAGAGCTTCCCTGTCTTGCACAAGAAAAACCCTCTTGCGCAATGCCATTACACCTATTACTTTTCAGGAAGAACAGCATTGCGCAAGAGGGTTTTTCTTGCGCAAGAAGGGGCAGTGTAGACGCTCCTTCTTGCACAAGAGCCTCTTCTGAAAAAAATGGTGGCTCATTAGGTATGCAAATGAGGCTCGGCGATATTCCACGCTTAGCCTCATTTGCATATTACTCGTGCAAGAAGCCGTGAGTATAGACATAGCCTTAGTGTGCAAGGAGCTGTGGGGATGGAGGGAGTGCTGCAGGGTGTTTAGGAGAGACATGCAACAGCAGATACCAGGAGGGAAGAGCCTGAGAAAAAGAAGGTGTGGGGAAGTATCCCAGGGGTTTTGTAGCTGTCTCGCAACTGGTATTAGAGACCCTTATAGGCAGCTGCTATTACAGGGCCCTGAGCTAGAACTCAGAGTAGAGGGTGGGCCTAGGTTCCCCCCAACACCCACCTCCCCATTTCCGCTGGGGAAAAGAAAAGAGTTTACCCAGCCCTGTATGTGGGAGTCCACCAAGACTGGAGTTTATTCTCCCTCTATATGTTATTCTGGCCAATGATAAGAGGAGCTCAACAAACAGCAAGCTGATACCCTAGGGCTGTGTCTACATGGGCGTGGTCTTGTGCAAAAGTGGCCGCTCTTGCGCAAAAACTTGCTGCCTGTCTACACTGGCCGCTTGTTCTTGCACAAGTAAACTGACGTGCTAATGTATGAAATCAGTGCTTCCTGCGCTAGAACTCTGACGCTTCTGTTCAGGTATAAGCCCTCTTGTGCAACTGTTCTTGCGCAAGAGGCCAGTGTAGACAGGAAACATGAATTTCTTGCGCAAGAAAACCCGATGGTTAAAATGGCCATCAGAGCTTTCTTGCGCAAGAGAGCATCTACACTGGCCCGTACGTGGATGCTCTTGCGCAAAAGCACATCTCTTGCACAAAAGCACATGCCACTGTAGACGCTCTCTTCTGGAAGAGTTTTTGCACAAGAAGCTGCCAGTGTAGACGTAGCCTGGGTGTAGTGCCTACATTGAGGGCTGCTGTGAGCCTCTGAGGCAAGCAAATCTGCCTGAAAGTGCAGGACTCACCGAGTTTTGAATAGGAGCTTTGTCACAATAGTAGGCTTCAGGACTAAGCCCAAAGAGCTTAGTCTGAAAAAAGCTTAGACTTAAAACAGCTGTCCAGGAGAGAGGGACTATGATGATGATAAAGAGGAAGAAATTCTTGGGGGGTGGGACTGAGGTAGTGGACAGTGCCTGATCAATTGGAACAAGCATACTTTTTAAGGCATGTAGGGAATCATGATGACAAGCATGAAGCTAAAAGTTGGATATTAGAAAGGAGACCAAAGCAATGGTAAGGTAAAAGGATTGAAAAGAGTGTAAAGAAATGGGAGGAGCAGTAGAGGGAAATGAGAGCCATGGTATAAATAGGGCAAGATTGTTTAGGCTTTGTAAATGAAATGGTATACCAGTGAAGGGATTTAGGAGATGGGAAGCATGTATGTGGAGCAGAAATAATAGTACAGGCAGTCCCCGACTTATGTCGGATCCGCACTTACGAACAGGGCTTTCTCGCCCCGGAGGTCGAGGTGGCGGATTGCTGCCTGCGAGCTC